TTTTGCTTATAGAAGAGGACCAAGGCAAGAGGAGACCTAAGAAGGTGCTAATCCAGTGATTTCTGAGCTCAGAGACTTCATTTGAGGTAATCATTCGTTCCTTTCTCAGTCCTTGGTGTAAATCTTAGAGATAGGGTTTCTTTGTGGCCTTTTTGGAATGATCCATGGAGTAAATGGCCTCTTCTCGTGTTGATGCTTTAGATCTAGACCCAAAGAGGTCCAGAGACCCTTTTCCCTCAAGCTTTATGAGTGTTAATGGAGGCCATAAGCTTAGAGTAGCATTCTAGAGACCATATCTTCAAATAAGGCCTTTTAACCTTTGCATGAGCACCAAGATAGTAACTTTACGTGATGTATGAGCTTGGAAGGACTGGATCTATGAGTTATTGGAACGGATCTGACCTCAGGAGTGAGTTTGACTTGATGCATGGCATAGACTAGCCGAGTCTGAAGAACAGACTCGGCGAGTAGCATGAAGATTGTCCATAACCACTCAGCGAGTGGTCTTACCGAGCTAAGGGGTTGACTCAGTGAGTCAGGGAGAGTCAGAGAGGGTTGACGGGTGGATTGAGTCAAGCCGGAACTCACCGAGTTGTTCTTGAGACTCAGCGAGTTGAATCGTGGTGGCCGCGCGACTCATGCCAGGTGGAACCCGTCGAGTTAGGAAAACACTCGATGTGTCGAGAGAGGATCCCAAAGAGTTAGTGGACATGTGTGTACACGCCGAGTCACCGGAGTGCACTCGGCGAGTTGGATCAAAGTTTGACCGTTGACTTTTGTTGACTTTTAGGGTTGGTCAACAATGTGGCCTTTGGGCCAAGAAGGGGGTAAAATGGTCTTTTACCCTTGAGAGGATGCCAAGAGAGGATAGAGTCTAGTCTCGAGAGTTATGTTCATGAGAGCATTTTCCTTATGTGATAGATGGTGGCGAGTTCGGGATGCATGCGTGAGGATATATACTTCCTGCTTGCCAGGTGAGTCTTCTCACTATACTTTACCTTGAGTAGGTAACCAGAGTTATGTGACAGAGTATTTGTATGCTATGTATGTTATGTGTTGTACTGCATTATTTCTATGTGATTTATGTTGTGCATATTTACAGAGTTAGAACCGGAAGGTTCCAAGAGTTAGAACCTAAGGGTTCACAGAGTTTGGGTGCACGGACCCACATAGTTATAGCCTCGAGTGGCTAATATGTGTTATGTGTGGTATTTTGGGGAACTCACTAAGCTTCGTGCTTACAGTGTTTTGTGTTATGTGTTTCAAGTTTCTTTCAGGATCACGGGACGGCACCGGCTTGATTTTACACAACAGCGAAAGAGTCATATTTTGAGGATCCTGGTTTATTATGCAAGTGAAAACGGAGTTATGTTTTGTAAATTGATTATGAATGAGATTTTAAGAAAAGTGCTTTTTTTTAAATTAACCCATTATGTTTAAATGAAAAATTGTTTTGAAATTTACGGTGTTACAATTTGGTATCAGACCTTGGTTTGAGGGATTCGGATGCACCTTCGGGTAAATCTGGACTCAAACTGAGGAAGTAAGAAAAGTTTTCAAAGAAATAATTTTCTAAAGCGAATAAGAGTTCAAAGAGAAAGCGAGAAAGAGCAATGTGTACAATCAGCCAGAGCTCGAACGGTGATTTCCCAAAATACCATTACTGTTGTGTTATGAGATATTTATGATGCACTTTATGAGATATTATTGCATGCTAGAGACAGGCTAGGTATTTCATATGTTAGGACTAGAGTGGCCTGATTTGTGATGCCTTAGCCTAGGAATTGTTGTTATATGCGATGTGCTTTTGAGTATGTGATGAGTGAGAATATTTAGTTGGAATCCTTTATGGGATTTGAGTAGAGGAGTAATCTAGGGGAGATACCTAGATGAGTACCGTGGTACTTTGCGAAAGAATAGTTAGAACCCACGAGGGAAATAGTTGCAGAGTTCGGTGGTACTTTCGAGGATGAGCAGAGCAAGTGGAGTTATCACCCAGAGTGAGTCCTATGTATTCTTCGATGCTCGAATGTTGCTTGCTTCGTGCTTTGTGGAACTCTCGATGATGGGAGTTAGCTACCAAGCGGAAATGATGATATTCAGGAGGTAGATGGCTGGCATCATTAGGAGCTCTTCGGCAGCTGATGGCAGAGAAGTGTAGGAATCTAGGAAGAGCCTAGGGAGTAACCTTTGCCAGATGAGTGTGCTGGAAGAATAGAGAATTTTGCTGGGGAGCGAGCACGCGCGACGGAATTGGTGAACGAGAAGGTCGAGCAGCTACTTAGGAGCTCCGGGATAGTCCGTGTGGAAAGTATGGGTAGATGTGGCAGGTAGTATGGGCCCGTACCACTGAAAGGAGAGGACCCATACTTGATACAGGGAGTATTCTGAAGGTTCTAATGAGCAGAATGAGGAGTGATGTTATGGTTCAAGTACCATACATCGGAGCAGATGGAGGATTGATGTTATGGTTCGAGTACCATACATCAGAGCAGATGAAGGAGTGATGCTATGGTTTGAGTACCATACATCGGAGCAGATGGAGGAGTGATGTTATGGTTCGGGTACCATACATCGGAGCGGATCGAGGAGTGATGTTATGGTTCGAGTACCATACATCGGAGCGGATTGAGGAGTGAAGTTACAGTTTGTGTATCATACATTGGAGCATATTGAGAAGAAATGTCATGGGACGAGTACCATGGTTCGTATTGAATGATGCTCGTGGTTCTTTGGTTATCCGATCATGATTGATGAGGTAGAGATTGGACGTTATGGGCCTTAGGCCAGTGGACCATGATTGAGTTCAAAGAGACGTCCCTTGAAGAGGGAGGTCGAGAGCCTTTCAGAGTATTTTGGTAAGGAGCCAGATGGAGGAAAAATTTCGGTTTGAGTTGAGCAATCAGTCGATAGAGGAGATGTCACCTTCTATGACATGGGTGGTGCTATTTATGTTTGTGTACGAGACATGAGAGGCAAGATGTTTAAGTTTCGGGTTTGGGGGTAAACCCTGCAGGTTGTCATTGAGGATGATTTTCCATCAGAGTATCAGGTAGCATGTGTGCCACAAGGTAGTGATTTACTATGAGCAGATAGTCATTTGGGACTGAGATAGTCAAGGACCACCTTACACCTATTGAGTATAGTAGGGAGCATTGTAGAGGTATCAGTGGGGAGTCCAGTCGAATTTATCAGTGCAATGGTTTTTCTATCTATATTAGGTATTTAATATGGGAGTGGGTCCCTATTCTTGGGAAGATCCATGTGATGGAACGTCGGTTGATGAGTCGAGGTGGGGGAGTATGACGATTTCGTGGTCCAGTCTATGGGTCAGTGATATTATTGGTCAGTTGAGTTGTTTGGTTTTGGAATGGTACGAGAGTTGGAACGACCAGAGGCAGTCGTGACGAGAAGTTCTTGAGGATTTCATCTGAGGTTCAGAGTATATGAGATCGATTGATTTCCTTAAAAAGGGATTATCGGGCGTTGCATAGCACTTTCTAGGGGCAGGTGCATTATTGCTAGTGAAAATAGTTCGTGAGATTGTTGATGTGTCAGATAGTGATGGTTCAAACCCTAAGTGAGGGAGAACCGGGTGGTTTATTGAGAGAACCATAGATTTGTGCAAGAGCGGTTAGGGGTTGGATACAGAAACCTGTGACTTGAATTCATGAGATCAGGATCATTGGTGATCAAGGAAAGGTGCAGGACGGGATAATGCATGTGGTATATGTCTGAGAAAAGGGTGGGTTTCTCCGCGGCAGGAGGTCAATGGTCAAGAATCAGGTGGTGGCCAGATTCGTTTCAAGTGGAAGACTCGTAATGATGGTATGGGCAGTTGAGAACTTCTAGGTTGAAATATGGGTGGAGGATTATTGAGTAGCCAACTCCCGGGCTGTGTATTCTTGCTTGGATTTTGAGCAGTAGTGGAAATGGTTCGGAGGATCATCAATGTGTTCTGAAGGGTTAGCGCCTTCCTTGTATTCCAATTGAGTGCTTGGATGCACTGACTTGCGCATTGAGTAAAATAGGAAATTATTATGGGATTCAGAGGAAATGTATTGATGTATGTGTATGGTGCTGGGAGTGCGAGAATTAGTGGTAGGGGCAGGACATTGTGGTGCTCTGTTATGGTGTTCCGTGATTTCCGCGTTTAGCGTCCCGATTTCGGAGTTATTTAGAGTCTTGGGTTTAAGTCGACGAGTGATGTAGCATGTATCTACGATTCCAGTGGGAGCCCTTCGTGTATTGTCATCAAGACGGACTATTTAAGGAAGTGGATCTCCGCAGAGGTAGGTTCTGTGTTATGGCAGTTGCCGCCAGAGTCTGTAATGCATATCAGGGCAAGTGTGTGTGTAACTACCTATGATAGTCTTCAGTGCAGGAGTAGTGAGCTTAGTGTGACATTGTAATGAGAATGAGAGTATATGGTGAAGTTACGGGGAGCCATAGTATTCACCAGTTAGAAGGAGTTGTGATGCTACGGGGAGCCGTAGTACTCACACGTCAGAGAGGGAGAGAGAGAGAGAGTAGTGATGCTACGAGGAGCCGTTTATATAGTCGTTCGGATTGTTTCTAAAATAAAGACAAGTTTTACTTTTATTCTATTTTATATTGTCGTTCAGATTTTATAATGTTGTCCGAATTTTATATAGTTATCAAAATTTATAATAATAATAATAATAATAAAATATAAAATAAAAGAAAAAAACAAATCAAAAATAAAATGGAAAAAAATAATATCAAATCAAAAATAAAAGTCTAATTAGATTAATTATAGGGGTAAAATTGATTAAGAAGATTCTACATAACCCATAAAAAATTGATTTGGAGTAAATTTCAAAATACTGGACAAATGCTGTCAATGGCCGAGTCGGTGTAATATTTTAACATAAATTGATGTGCAGGAAACTTTCACTTACAGTCGTATATCTAAACTTTAACAACCGAAAAAATTGAAAATTCTATGAAAAATCACTTCATCCTGATTGTTCCCGCATTTACCTTAAGAATTTATTATCAGCTGAAATGTCTCTGTTATTGATAAACTTGGTACCGTGAACTGTAGACAACTGAAATGGCTGAATCTGTAGAATTTTCAATTCAATGCCACGTCTCTTTCCTAGATTCACATTCACTTGTTGATCTCGAGGACGACATTTCACCACCGGCAATGGGGGATCTAGTTCTTCTACCGCTACCTCCGGATCCCCAATACTAATCATATATTTCTTCTGCTTACTAGGCTTCTTAACACCACCATTACCATTGCAGCTTCGAATTCCGCAGTGATTGCTAATTGTAGCAGTGTCAGTAGGTGGCGAGATTAGGTTTTTACCAGAGAAGAGTTTCCGAAGCTTATTGTAATTGAGGTTGGTAGCTGATTTTCCGGGGGTAGCAGTAGATATTCTGGAGGCGGAGATGTGGTGGTTGGCGGTGGATGTGGAGGTGGAGTTGGAGTTGGATCTCTTCTTGATCCGACCGATGCAGCTGATTTTCGGGGATGTAGGATCCGGCGAACATGAAGTGGAAGTAGAAGAGGAAGACGTCAAATCGGCCAATCTGGTAGGTTTGGCGACGTCGTTAATGGAGAGACGACATAACATTGGGAAGAAGGTGTTCCTATACCTAGGGCTGGTGGTGTTGCCGTTGCCGGTGCTGGGGTGGTGATGAACTTGTTGATTACAGGATCTGTTCCCCATGGGTTGTACTTGTGGTTGTATCTCTGATCTGAAAAATAAGATGGAGTGAGAAAGAGGACAAAAGGTAAATAGAAAGTATTCGATCAGCATCGGGAAATACCAATACACAACAATGCGTGCTCCAAGGCAATCTCCAAACAGAATCTCTATTTTCTCACTGGTCAACAGATCAGGTTTATTAAATGAGTGTCACCTGATTACGCATCAAAGTCTTCCACACCTCATAATTTCTCGCGAATTAAAATTTTAAACATTTAATTTTTAATTTTTTTTTTGGAACCAGCAATTATAACTTGTTATAGCAATTTTGTTAGTCTCTCCCGTGTGGGTAACACGGCTACCGCGTTATCTGACGTGGCGTAAGTCCTTAACGGCGCCATGGCACAGAACATCGTCATAGGGTCGCGTTAAGGCGCGTTACGTCATTAGATGTTATCACGATAACTAGTCATAATGTATAAAATTCGAACGTTTTATTTTTTTTAGCCGTAGAAAAACGGTAATAATACCGTTGCATACGGTATAACTGAAAAAAAAAAATTTACTTCTTCAATTTACTTTATATATATATCAACAAATATATATATATATATATATATATATATATATATATATATATATATATATATATATATATATATCATTTTACCTATCTATCTCTATTTATCTATATCCATCTCTATTTCATTCAAAAAAAATTACCCTCTATGAATCAAAACCCGAATACCCCTCCTCCGAAGACAAACACATCCACTCCATTGGGTTTTGCGGGATACGAGGGATACATCAACCTTCTAAACTCCCAAAACTCACCACAGATTCCATATTCCGACAATTTTTTCAATACCACCTCACCCGCAATACAATTCCCTACATCGCCATTTATGCAACAATGTGCAAACATTCAACAAAGCCTTTTTACCACATTCGGTCCCATGCGCCAAACAGTCACACAACCCATACCCACGGAATAACCCGTTGTCGAGACGCAAGCTGGTGGTAGTCAGAGAGCATCAGGAAAAAAAGGGAGACCAAAAAAGAAAGGGAAAGAGGTCGTTGTCGGGACGGACGAAACGGAAGCACCTCCAACATGGTGGACACCGGAGGAAGAGCATGCGTTGGCGACGACTTGGTGCGGTACTTCAAAACAACCAACTATGGAGAACGATATGAAGAGAATTGCTTTTTGGGATGCCGTAATCGTCAAATTCCGCACAATTTTGAAAAATGGTGACACGTATCGTAATAATGATATGCTTAGTGGCAAATGGACTCAAAATTAGTCGGAAGTGCACCAAATTCAATTCCATATACAACAAACTTTCTTCGTAACATCAAAGTGGTGCCAATGATTTCGATGTGTTTAGAGCCGCGAGGGAGGAATATCACGTGCAAATGGGGCACGTATTTGAGTATGAAAAAGTATGGGAGTTAGTGATGAAAGATCCAAAATGGATAAAAACGCCAACATCATCGGAACAGCAATCCAAAAGGTCTCGTGGTTCGGGTTCGGTTGATGTTTCTGATGCACACACGAACATCGACCTCAACGCGGACACCGATGAGATCCCGGACAAGTTTGACGACATCGAGGAAATCTCTCCGCCACGACGACCTATGGGGCGCGACAAAGCGAAGCGCACTCAACGACATGCGGAGAAGAATGAAAGTCGACTTCGAGAGCACGAGGAAATGAAAAAAAAAATTGACGCCCACACGGAAATCGCAAATAAAAGATACGAATTGCAACGAGAGCATTTGGATTTCCTTCGTCAAGAAGCCCAAGAAGATCGCATATCGAATGATTTAACAATTCTTACGACAAACGAAGAAAGTTTACCACCGATATGAGTTGAAGTGATACGGAGGATGAAGGCACAGATAGAGAGAAAATATTTGGGTGAAGAATAGTTTGTCGGTGTTTTTTTTTTATTTTTTTTATTTTTTTTATTTTTTACTTAGTATTACAATCGTGTGTTTTTTTTCAATCTTTTTTTTTTTGGTTTGTAATGTTTTTCTTTAAGTTTGTGTGGTATTTTTAATTTTCTAGTTAATGAAATTATGTTTTATTAATTTATATGTTTTTTATAAATATATGTATATTAAAAAAATAAAACAAATAAGAAATATATGAAGTAAATAAAAAAATAAAACAAATTAAAATAATATAAATTAAAAACAACCAAAAAAAAGTAAAAAAAGAAATAGAAAATAATATGTATTATCCCATGTTATTTGGTGTTGCCCATTTCCATCATTGGTGTTATAACACCAAATTGTGACTAGAATGATGAGGTGGACATTTTGGGTGTGATAACATGTAATAACATGTTACCCACACCTAGTAGTCTTAGGTTATGATGTATGACTTTTATCAATGCTAAAAGTCTATGTGGCATTTATCATTAATATCACCTCCCAGGGTTTTATGTCAGAGATCCTACAAATAATCAAGGGTTTTCCTTTTAACTCATTTGTCTGACTTTGATTATCATCTGATACTTACATTACAATAACATCACAGCCTCTTATACGATTTGATCGAATTACACTTGATCGGTTTTTGATCAAAACATATATAGTATTTACATAAATGTTATATATTTATAATTTCGATTGTATCGGTTTTAAAAGATTCTAACCCAAACCATCGGTCCCTATTCCGGTTTCAATTTTTAGGTTCTCGCATACGATTTTGCTGTTAAGGCTGAAAGGTGTAGTGATGTTTTTATCAATGGTAAAGGGTGTCACATAGGCGCCATATAGACATTTATAACTTTTGCCAAACTTTTATTGACAAGGTGTTGTAGTTTTTTTTACCCATGATATATATACTGGTATTTATGTTAAAAAGAAAAAGATTGAAATGGTCGATTAAGAAATAAAAAAAGCGTACCTTTAAGTTCACGATTATTATTATTATTATTATTATTATTATTATTATTATTATTATGGTATTGATGTGTTTTATTGATTTTAATCTGAGGTTACAAAGACTGTGAAAGTAATACGAGTACAAGAGTATTGCTAGGGCTAATCATGTGTGTTGTGTGCTAGATACATATGTTATTTATATTCTAGTGTAAGTAACAAGAAGTATGATAATTTCGGGATCCTCTAGAATTAACATATGAACGTTATTTGACTTCGTAGTCTAGGTCTTTTGGCTGGTTGAGATGACTCTCCGTCGAGAATAAGTCTTGTGGTGACGAGTTATGCATATGTGAGAAAAATAAAGAAAATATAACCATTAAAAATATTAGAAATATTAGTGGTAATAGTTCGGATCTCAGGATATGTTCAAGGATCCTGAGGCTTTAGAAATATTTGAGGATCTTGAATACGATTCAAGGATCTTGCCCCTAATAATTGCTCCCAAATTATGCCTGTGAAATATAAACGTTAGTGTTTAGATATTTAGAGGTATATTTTTTAAGTAAATGTCACACCCCCAAACCAAGGATGGCGGAAACGTCTGGGGTGGAGGACTTCATGTAGAGTATCACAACAATGAGTATAATAGTGCTCAAAGTAAATACAACCATCACAAATATAATTGAAAACGTTACATCAAAGCACATGTTTACAGGATTCACATCAATTACATTATGATACGAAATGAACTGTTTGACGATTTATCGTCCCATCCTCAAAACGTTGTTGATTTCCTGTTTTCACTGAATTCCTGAGAATACAAGTAGTTTTGAAAAGTGTCAACACAAAGGTTGGTGAGTTCATAAGAGATTTCGTTAGAAAAGTAATCCGTTTTCCGTGTAAAAGCGTTAGAATATGTATCCAGAAAATCCGATATTTTCTATAAAATCTGTGTAATGTAGTCTTATGACCGAAGACCAAAATGTATAAGTAACCTTTCTTACTAATAGAAAATGTTCTGTGTTTAAATGGACATGGACGCGTTTGAATTAAATGAAATTTCCGTATGTTCTCATGTTTGTTAATACTTTATATATATGTAGTCCTAAATCCGAGGACCGAGAAATAACAAGTATTGACCATACTTAAAGGTATAAATGTGGTTTCAAATGATGTGTAGTCGTAACTACCAAAACCAAAACTGTACAGTAATATCTGTACTCATTGAGATAAAAAAAATGATTTTAAATCGACATAAAACCCATGTAGGTTTTATAAATAAAATCCCGTAAACTTTACGGATTGTTATATCCCTATGTGAGTCGCTATAATCATACTATGACTATGTGAACCTGCCACGATGTTTCTCAGGCGTCGCGAAAACTGAAATGACATTTGTCACCCGTAGACCTGCAGGTTCCACTGTAGCTAGTAGCAAGGTGTGGGGTGTCAAACCCAATATAGATCTATATACAAGTATCACGTTCTCCCTCCAGGAGATTCTGATTATAACTACCAGGAATTATATCCCGCACTCGGACGTACGGGGAGAGAATGTCTCACAATATAAGTTTACAAGTTTACGTGAAATGTGTGTGAATATAAATCTTTTCTGTATGAACGTACCCTTTTTGTACGAGTGTGTTGTGTGATGTATCATAAACTATACCTATTATAGTTTATCTAAAACGTTTGTAATATGTAAGAACTCTTTTATGGAAATGCATAAATGTTATGAATCCATTAAACTATACTTTTTATAGTTTATTATACGTGTTCTAAAATGAATGTATAATATTTATTATGAATGACTTAGTTTTAGTTCATGATTATAAACTAACAAAGAAACACATTCAATAATTAGAACTTATGATTATACACTTTGCTCAACATAATACAAAGTGTTATGATATTTATATGCTGTTGGCTAACTTTAGCCAGTCTGCACTATTTTGTAAAAATCATAGAAAAATCATACGAAGTCGAAAACTAGATCCGAAAATTCTGAGAGTTCAAAAAATGTGTCTAGTTTACTCATCATTTTTATCACGATTTTTAATGGCCTCCAACTTGGGTGAATAAGTCCATAATCACAGATTGGTCCGGATTGTTGTTTGAAATGATAG